CGCCTCCGTGCCCTACGTCAAAGCCACAGAGCCCCACATGCTGGAGACCTACACCCCCGAGGTCACCAAAGCCTACATCACGTCGCGCCTGGAGTCCGTGCACATCATACTGAGGTAAGGTGCGGCGCCGCCTCCCCCAGGCAGCAGAAGACACTGGTGTCGGCCTCTGGGTGCCCGCGCTGCTGCTGGTTCTTTCTCCCGGAACCGAGTAGCCACGGGAGCCGCAGCCCAAAAGCCTGGCCCCCTCTCTGAGGCTGGCTCGGGCCCTTTCGCCACTGATAGCAGTGTATTCTAGTGCAAGGTGCACGCGATGTCTGTCCCCACCACCGACTTTCTCGAGACGTAAGGAACACCCGTGGGACGTAGGTGGGAAGAACTATAATGCATGAGTTACAGGTCGGCGTGTGGACCCCTGAAGTTATGGATCAATACTTACTCCATCTACTTACCAACGCTAAATTCTGAGGTGCCAGGAGACATGGAAGCCTGGGTGCCAACCCAGATTGCCTTACATCAGCACAGGGTTTCTGCCTGCCCCGACTGGGAGCTGACCCACATCTGTCACTAGAGAAGTGGCAGGCCCTTTTAGAAGGGACCTGTGTTCAGTGACATCGTCTTGGTGTGGACCTTCCTGGTCCCACTGGCTGTCTCTCAGGGTAGCTCCCTTGGATTCCGTGGCTCTGAGGAGTTCTTTGTTTTTTAAGTGAGATTCCTAATGTGCTCATGTCCTAAGTTATGGTGTTAACTGTGACGTGAATCGTTTCAAACCCTGGGTTTTTCGGTGTGTTCACTGGGGCTCCTGCTCATCAGCTCCCCGGCTTCCCTCCCTGGGGTCCAGCTGGCCTGGCTGGGACAGTGTCGGGTTAGTTAGCTGTGTGCAACGGGGCCCGGGTCGCCAGGGAATGGCTGCACACTCCCGGCCACGTCTCCGGCTTCCTGTTGGCCAAGTACAGGCGATGCAGGACCCACACGAGGTTCCGTGAGGGTCCTGGTAACGTGGCGTGGCACTCGTGTGGTGCGTGGGAGACACACGTCGCTGCTGCGTGTGGCACTGCCACCTGTCATGCTGTGATGTCCTAATAGCGCATCCCAGGAGCAGGGTCAGACCTAGGTGTCGGGAGGGACAGACCAGCAGTCCTCACTGCAGTCCGAAGTCAGGAGATGGGGAAATACACGTTCTCGTCAGTTCAGCAAAGTTCACTTCGTGGCAGAACTTAACATGAGCCGCTGGGGCCACTTAGAGCCTGCGTAAAACTCACACCTGGCACATCCGTTCGTAATATTCACCACCTCGGGCAGGAGAGCAGGTTTGCTGTGCCACAGAGGCAGTCGGGGGCTTCGGATGGCGCGCTAGACGTTCGCGTTACCTCCCTTGAGTCTGGAGAGCTCTGGATTCCAAACGGACCTGGCACAGCGGCATCACGCAGTGCCCTGGCACCTTCGATCCCGAAGGACCGGCCAGGGCTAGCGAGCTGGGGCGGGTAGGAGCGTAGGGCTGCAAGGTTCGAGGGGTGGGGACACCGTGTGCCTGAGGGAGACTGAGGCACAGGCCACCACGTGTCAGGCCACCACGTGTCCTGCGACCCTTTTCTAACACGCTTTGCTGGTGAAAAGTAGCGCCGGGACGGAGACGGAGCCTGTGCTAGCACGCGGCGGCTCCCTTAACCGCCGAGAGCCGAGGTGCTGGGGCGTTGGTAGGCGCATCTAAGAGAGCTTCCTCCTTCCCTCGGAGCAGAGATGGCCTGGAAGACCCCCTGGAGGACACAGGCCTCGTCCAGCAGCAGCTGGACCAGCTGTCCACCATCGGGCGCTGCGAGTACGAGAAGACATGCGCGCTCCTCGTGCAGCTGTTCGACCAGTCGGCCCAGTCCTACCAGGAGCTGCTGCAGAGCGCCAGCGCCAGCCCCATGGACGTGGCCGTGCAGGAGGGTGAGCGCAGCGTCTGGGACGCAAGGCCTCCCGGGAGACCAGGCCCCGCCACTCCCCGAGGGGCTCTTCGTCGTCATAGCCCGCATCCACCTGAGGGGTGTGGGGCGGGACAGAATGCCCAGATGCATCTGCACTGCCGTGTCCGCCTGGGGGGGTGCAGGGCGGGGCAGCGTGCCTGTATGTATCTACACTGCCGTGTCCGCTGGAGGGGGCCCTCGCTCTGACGAGCCCGCCCGTCTAATGGAGGACTCTGCCCGTCTGTGCATCCCCCTGGGCCTCACCCGGCCCAGAGCAGGCTGGCAGTGTCCTCATGGATGTGGGGAGGTCATTAGGAAATTCTCCTTCGCGGCGACACTGACGCTCCCCCTCCTGCTGTAGGGAGACTGACCTGGCTAGTCTACATCATCGGGGCCGTGATCGGTGGCCGGGTGTCCTTCGCCAGCACTGACGAGCAGGACGCTATGGACGGCGAGCTGGTCTGCCGGTGAGTGCTCCGCCGACCACTGCCCGCCCCGCTCAGGCCTTGCTGGCACGGCGCCCCTAGGGCAGGGCACCTTCTCAAGGGCAGAGCTGTGGAGACCAGGCCATTGCAGACCCCACTCAGGACCTGTAAGTGCAGCCAGAGCGCACCCACACTCACTGAGCAAACGTGGCGGGCTAACTTGGCCAAGGAAGCCACGGACCCCGGGGGAGAAGGGTGGGGGGAGGCC